GTGATTACATGTAATTATGATTCTTGCGGTCCAACCAAACGTGCCATAGATTTCCAACAACACTTGATGTATTTTTTGAATTTTTGAAACAAAATAGTTAATAGCTAAACAAGAGTAGTCACCAAATTTTTAAAAATGAAAGTAATCAATTATAATACTAGAATAGTCAGTAGTTAAACAAGAGTAGTCATTGAAGTTTTAAAAATAAATACAGTCAATAACTAAAAAAGAATTAGTCAATACATAAGAAAGAGTAGTCACCGGAGTTTCGATAACATGCCACTGGAGCTTTGGCGGCTGGCCACCAATAGAGTTGCTGTTGTCAGAGTTTTGATGGCCGGAAACTGGCCAAGGGGATGAGATGGCAATATTAAAAAGAAAAAATAAAAAAAATAGTGAAGGGTATTTATATAATTTTGTGAGATTTGAAAATTTTAAAATGACACACGGGTCTTAAAAAAAATTTAAAAGGCATTTGTCTTTAAATAACATGGATGGCATCTGGTATCTTGAACATTAGGATACTATATCTACTAGCCAAGTATTATAATCTCTCTAATTCTAAATAATTGAAAAGTTTATCTTGATTCTAAATATAAAAATTTAATGTCCTTTATTTATTTATTTATTATTTTGTCTAATATACGATGCATAAACTATATTGATAATACTCCAATATAAATAATAAAAGGAAGTTATTTTAGAAAAATCATTGCACAATTTATATAAATGATAGACTCACGTAATTTTCTTAAATCAAACTTGTTAGTATATTTAAGTTTGAAGAGCTAATATTTAAAAAAAAATATTTAGATAAAACACTTTTTATCTATTATATCAAGTTTTCTAGTTACACATGATTGTGGTATCTTTTTTTTTTTTTAATGTAAGCTTATAATTCAATATTAGTATTTTAAAAATAAGACACATGATCATGTATAATTCAGAAACTTGATATAATATATATAAAGAAATTGATGTAAGTGTTATATTATTATTATTATTATTATTATTATTATTACTACTGCTATTATTTTGTTGAAGGATTTAAATTATGATGTTTTATAAACCCAGATGTGATATTTAGCTGAAGTCGATTTACAAAGATTGAACAGATAAAATATTGACCATGTATTCCTACTTATCATTAATTAAATTGAAGATGATAGCTTAATGATCAATAAATTCATTCAACTGCTTACAAGAAAAATAAATAAATACACTCACCAGATTTGAATGAAGCCAACATAATAAATATATACACATTTAAAAAAAAAACTATAAACCATAATAAATAAAGAACTGAATAGTATATTTATAGTAAAAATTTAATAAAGTGATTTATAAATAGGATAGAAAATTTCCTTTTTGTACTTTATAAACAGAGCCAGAGGAATATGATAGGTCCTCTAATTTTCTCTGAGAGACTATAATATAGACTGTTGTTTATAAGAGATGATGAGAACCCAGTTACATTGGTAATATATTTTATCATTCAGATTTATTTATTTTAATAATTTGAAACTGCTGTATCCCATTTTAATTTAGTATACGAGTTGGTTTTCATTAAAATAATTGAATTTAATCTCCTTTTTTGGGTGCACCCAGAGTGCTATTTGATTTATAGATCGGATTAGATGGTTGGTTTTTCAAAAATAATCGAAATTATATGAATAAAAATTTAATTCAATTAAACCACTATCTTTTATAATTTAATTTATAAAATAAACATAGCATTTAATGTTTTCATTTTTCTTATAAATATGTATTATATATTTCTCCAGGAGTTTGCTGTAGATTTGAATCCATTGTATCTTACTGCCTTATATATAAATATATATATATATATATATATATAATCTAATGTTATGTAAAACCAAGTTATTCATATCCATCGTGTCAAGTTCTCCAATTATACATAACCATGTATTTTATTTTTAAAATATTAGTGTTTGATAGCATTTAATTATAAATTCACATGAAATAAAAAAGAATACAAGACCATATATGATTAGAGAACTTGATATAATTGATATAACGAACTCAACCTAAATTTTTTTCCTTTAAGAAAATCAAATCATATTTGTTAAAATTAACTAATTCATTTAATTTTTATAATATAGTCAAATTTGTTAAGTAAAGAATGTTTTCTTGAGAATGAAATGTTTCATTTTCTGTTGACTGGTCTTTTATAAGGTTAGATGTAGACTCACATCAAATGGGAGAAGAGTTTTGTGGGCAAGCCAACTGAAAATTAGCATTATTACACTCATGAAATTACTGGACCAATTAACTGGTGAATGCTTCAATCCCAATCTAATCAACTGGTGAACGCTTCTGTTACATGAATATACAGTTGACCTGGTCTCCGCTTGGAAAATCCATGACTAATAGCCCTTTCATAATTTGGTTCACAAAAATGGTTGTTTATAGCTTTTATTATTTTTAAAATGTTTATCACTTTTTTTAAAAAAAATCCTCAAATTATATGCATAAGAGAGTATTTAAGTCAAAAGTATTTTTTAAAGTAATAATTGTTGTGAACCGGGGGGGGCTTTTTTTTTTTTTTGGGTAAACAAGGGGGTATATTTATATTTTATACAAAAGAATAATTCAAAGACAAATACTTTGTAACAATGAAAAACATACGACTATTGTGCTATTAAAAAGGAAATATAACTTTAACTTGTAAGTTATAGATGAATAATAGGTGTTTAAATATGAAATAATGAACTTGAAGAATGAGTTCATGTGAGTATACAAAATATTTTTAAGAGATTTACTTTTAAGCTTGATGATGCTTAAATTTAACCCTTTAGTGCTTGATTTCAGATACCCATATACACAAACCATGACCCCTTGGGAGTAGGATACTCTCAGCGTTCTCTTCCCCCCAGCGTCTCTCAGCGTCCAACTAGCAGCCGTTAAGGTTAATCTAACACAGGCACACAGCTTACGTTATGGCAGTTGTGCCACATCATAATGCTATTAAAAATTAGAAATAAAATTTTTTTACCAACTTTCGACTAGGAGGTATTTAGATGAAAACTAAATTAAGATTTTAGAAGTAATTTTATAAAATTTAAGATAAGTACATGAGAGAAATTTTGTTTCGATTTGTATGAAAATATATTTTAAAAGTGTTTCTGAGACTTCCTAAACACCTCTTAAGTTTTTGTTAGCACGAAACACTGATTTATTTTCACCTATCTCATTTCAACTCGAGGATTTATGATATGTACAGACTCTAGACTTATCTAGATGACCATAAATGATGAAAGCATTAACCATCACATATTTATATATAATTTTTTTGGAGCTTTTCAACTTAAATTGAAAGATTTATCTTAATTTTTTCTGGTATACATTAAGCCAATCAGGATCATAAAGAGTGGTAGAAGTACACCAAGTATTTTATTTTATTTTAACTTTTAATTGAAATAGTTGATGGAAGAACTTTGCCTTCTTTGTGGTCCTATTCGACCTAATTTATATCCCTTTAGACTCTTAATAAATTTTACAGTTAAAATAAGTAGATCCAAGAAAATTAGCTGTTTCACTCCTAGGAAATTTAAAAAAAAAATGGCATCAGTTAGATTTATTTTTAATTCTCAATAGTATGATGATGTGACATATTATGAGCTCTTAGATTAATACTCCTCCGGTCCTTAATATAGGATCTAATTGTTAAGTTGGTTTTGGTCTTAAATATAAGACCCATTTATCATATTTTTCAATTTTCTCTAAATTACCCTTATAGATATTCCATCAGCCATAATCAAGTAGAAGAGGAAGATGGGGTATTAAGAAAGATGATTATGGTATTTTAAAAAAAACGTGTCACATTTCTTATAATTAACTAACTTACCTAACTTTCTTAATCTAATCAAATTAATTAAATGGGTCTTATATTAAGAACCGGAAGAGTATGATGGAACATGTCCGAACGCTGAGAGACGCTCCCGTTGAAAGAATCCAGACCCGATCATTTCCTAGATAGCATTCAGGGCATGGAAAGCCCACAGGCCCAAATATAAAATTAGTAATCATTATTATTTACAAGCTAAATTGGACAAAACTTTCCTAAACTTTGAACCTGAATATTTCCCTTAATATTTAAAACTTTTTTTTTTTTTTGACCAAGACCTTAATATTTAAAACTTAACAATAGATCCACCTAAACTTTTAATTTTATTCAGACAACCCTCACACGCCTCCTTAAAAATTTTTGTGTACATATAATTTTCACAAACTCAGAATTATATGCATGCAACTTCATTAAACTTTAGTTATATGCATTTGGGTAGTGAACAAAATTAATAACATGAAACTCATCTACATAAATGTAATAGTTTAGGAGGATTTATTGTAAAACGTTAAAAATGAAGGTTATTTGTACATGACATAAAGTTTAGGAAAGTTATACAATTTACCCTTTTTATAAACCATAAACATTATGACTCAATACAGTGCACAAAACACTTAGACTATAGCAAAAGAAGCTCTGGTCAAGTTCCCTCCTTCAGTCTAAGCAGCATTGTTTCTCAGTAATTCCGTGGCTAAAAAAAAAAAAAAGAGTCTGTTTTGCCATCACAATGAATGGAGAGTCTCCGCAGACTCGTCCATATTACACCCTTTCATCTGGTGAAAACTGGATTTTTCTGCATTAAAGCACATGCAATAAGGATTGATTGGCAGTTTGGTACACAAACTTGTTAGTATAAAAATAAAATAAAATAAAAACCAATATTAAATGTAACATAGAAAAATAAAGCCACTGCAGTAATGCCAAATGAAGCTAGAAAATAGGGCGATACATTACGGCATCATCAGAAGATTCAGTTTATTGAACCTCTGTATCAGTATTCTATGCTTTGTTATGATCCAACCAATCTGTAAGTAGGAAAGTCAGCATACTTTTCTTTGATAGTTATAATGAAAGAGTCTAAATTGATAAATATTGTTTGCCAAGAAAATGATAAATACTGGGTGGTTCTTACTTCTCAGTTCTTACCCATGTATCAGGATGATTTGCGAGCTAAAAAAGTTGAGGACGAATTGTGCCCGAAAGCTCGTTCCTGCCAAGATAAATGTAGGAAATGGACATCTTTGAAACAGAGATCAACTCTTAAAAGCTAGTAAATTCAGCACTAGATGAACTATTCTTCCAAAGAACTTTTCTCACTGTTATGTTAAACGGAAGAACCTCATAGCTATCACTAAAAGTACTTTATCCAAGTTTTCTTGACTTCTTCAATCCTGTACAAGATGCACAACCCAAAAACAAATAGTCAACAATGTAGGGTGGGCCACATTTTGGCAGAATTGATGGTCCAAGAGCAAGTCAAATAAAGTGTGTGAGGTGAATGACTAAGAGAGAGCAACATAAATAAAACGAAGTGGAAGCAGTAAAGCATTATTGCCCCTTTTGTAACAGAAGAGTAAGATCTGAATAGGCAAAAAAGGTAAAGCGAATGGCCTGCAAAGTTGTCCCAGTAATGTAATGAAATATACATAGCAGAGGTGAGGATGAAACAATAAAAGTATCAAGAAGAAGCATATTACTTCACATCTTTGTTTGAAAGTTTTGCTCGAAGAAAGCTAGTGACAAGATCCTAAGATCAAAAACGAATCATCCCTGGTAATGATACCATATATGACATGACCATTTGCCTATACAAGTTTACCTTCAAGTGAAACAAGAATTTCTTGCAGGCAACCGCAAAATGAAAATGGGAATTTGTGATTCTGGAACTTGAATTACATCATTCACCAATAATCACCACAGGAGCAAATCCCATGCTGAAAATGGTGAAACCTATTCATATCTCTGATAATAATATCTCGCTGCACAATTTTGGAGACCAACTTCATAACAATGTGGCAATCTACACATATACGGAGATTTTTTATGATATGTATAGGACAACCACGCGGCAATCGAATCAGTCCAAACGCAAGAGCCAATCTTTCACTGTGAACCCACAAGAGACGTGCTTTTTCAACATCCTCCATATCGAGCAAAACGGCATTGATATTGGGTACATATCCTTCCTCCCTCGTTTTTTTGTTTAACCATTCAAGCATTGCACTGATAAGTTTAATGTCAGGATGACAGGTGTTCCCGGCAGTAAAATAGTGAACCACACCTTGATCCTCAATCCAACTTAACCCTGGCTCCTTCCTGACTCCTTTTGTGTGCATAACTTTTCTAATAGAAGCAACACCGTCCCATCTCCTTGCTGTGGCATACATGTTTGACAGAAGTATATGGGTTGCATCGTCATGTGGATCCATCTCAAGTACACGTTTGGCACAGACCCTTCCAAGATCAATATTATTGTGGATGACACAAGCACCAAGCAATGCTCGCCACACCATAACACTAGGCTGAAATGGAATTTCACCAATGAGTTTCACAGCTTTCTCAAGATGGCCTGACCTTCCAAGAAGCCAGACCATGCAAGTATAATGTTCTATACATGGTTTGATGCCATAGTCTTGCATCATTGACTTAAAGAGTACTTGTCCTTTATCTAGCAGTCCTGCATTGCTACATCCAGATAGGACACCAACAAAAGTTAGTTTATTTGGTTTACAATTAGATTGTCGCATCATTTCAAATATATTTAGAGCCTCCACACCTAGGCCATGCATGGAATATCCACAGATCATAGCATTCCATGAAACTTCATCTCGATTTCCCATCTTATCAAATACTATTCGGGCATCACGAATGTTACCACATTTGGCATACATATCTACCAATGAATTGGCAACTACAGTGTCCTTATCGTATATGGTTTTGATAGTTAAAGAATGAATCTGATGTCCTTGATTCAATGATGTTAAACTCGCACAGGCACGAAGAACACAGGAGTATGTCACTTCGGTTGGCTGTATGGGATAAGCAACCATGGATACAAACATATTTAGTGCCTTCTCCTCGTCTCCTAACTGCACATAACCAACAATCATGGTATTCCAAGTCACTTCATTATGCTCAGGTGATTCCACAAATAATTTCATAGAGTTCTCCATTTTACTACACTTGGCATAAACATCAATGAGGGTATTAGACACAAACACATTTGAGTCAAGACCAACTTTCAGGACATAAGAGTGAATTTGCTCCCCCAAATTTAATGCAGGTAAAGCCGCACAAGCTTGCAATACACTAGCGAATGTAAACTGATTAGGGACAATGGATGATTGCCTCAAACGCTGGAACAACTCCAAAGCCTCTACACTTTTGTCACTCTGAGCGTACCGAGAGATCATTAGACTCCAAGGAATAAGATCAGTTTTAGGCATTTCCTCAAAAAATTGCCGTGCAGCATCAAGATCTTGGGACTTACTATACAATTCCAGCAGTGCAAGCCCAACATAAAGATCCTGTTCGTAATGAGTTTTCAAAGCACATGCATGAATACTCATGCCAAGGCAAAAGGCCTGTAAGCCAAGACAGGACTTGAGCACCGCAGTGATGACAAAGTTGTTTAGTTTGTAACCTATTAGCCTCATGTGGGAGAAAAGTTGTAATGAACAGTTAAAGCAGTCATTCTCAGCATAGCAAGCTACCATGCCAGTCCAAGTGACCATGTCCTTAAAAAGAATGTCATCGAAAACACTTCTAGCAACATCAACACACCCACAAACAGAGTAGGCATCAATAAGAGCAGTACCAACAAACGCGTCAGAGTGATAACCAAGCTTATAAATACACGCATGAATAGAGAAACACATCTGTGCGCGGTCCATACTGACAAGCAACTTGAGAATGGATGTGAAAACAAAAGGATTGAGCTGGTGGCCTCCTCTGAATAACCTAAGGAATAAGTCAAGAGCTGCAGGGAATTGAAGTGAGCGCATGTAACCCTGAGCCAATGTAGTGAAGGAGACAGTGTTACTACTGGGCATTTCATCGAACAGTTGAGATGCATCGGTCAAAGAATCAGACTTTACATACAGATTAAGAAGAACGTTAAATGCAAATAAGTCCAAAGAAGCGCCTGTCTTAATGACATGACAGTGAAGGCATTTTCCGGAGCAATAGTCACCGTTGTGTATGCATTTCTGAAGCGTAGCCGCGTAGAGATGGGAGTCGAAGTCCACAGAAGCCGTGGATTGGTAATGGTGGGGGTGGCTTAATTGAGAGGAAATAGAATGTGCTGATAAAGCGATGCATGATCGTGAGGTAGATTTAGTGGGACGGAACAATCTGATCATGCGCCACCGCTACTGCCTAATGCAACTCTAAAACTAGGCCCGTTTGGTTCACTGATTTGAGTCTTTGGGAAAATCGAAGAGAAAACAAAACCAGGGATCTGAGTCTGACCCGTCCGGCTTGAAGAAGCTATCCAACATTCCCTTCCTGCCGGAAAGATGATGGTCGCATAAGGAGAGAATCAAAGATACGACGATGGTGGCGGTGATGAGGTCGAGGGGCCCCACAAGTGGAGGTGCTGAGCAGAGTTGGTAGGTGGTTTGGGACTCAATGCGGGGGGAACTCAGCACTGGAGGCGGCGGTGGTGGCCAGTGCGCCGGTGATCGAGTGGTGGCAGCACCTCAACAGGAACTTGTTTAGCGGAGGGAGTGAAGATCGCGATTGGGTTGGTGCACCGAGAGAGAGATGAGTTCGTGGAAGGGTAAGAATTGAAGAGACGGCAACCTTAACTGACGGAATCGGCGCAAAACAGGGAGAGGAGAGGGATGCCGCCGAAACACATATAAGAAGTTTTTCCCCCTTGGAAAACAAACAGAAATACTTCTCCTATTCTTAATATAAGATCCATTTAACTAATTTGATTAGATTAAAGAAGTTAGGTAAGTTGGTTAATTATAAGAAAAAAGTGACACATTTTTCTTAAAACACCATAATCATCTTTCTTAATACCCCATCTCTTTCTTCTATTTGATTATGGTTGAGTAAGTATCCATAGGGATAATTTAGAGAAAATTGATAAATATAAGAAATGGGTCTTATATTTAGGAACAAAACCAACACAATAATTGGGTCCTATATTAAGAACCGGAGAAATAATATTTATTAGTCATCCTTTTTTTAAAAAAAAAATCGATATGAAATTTAAATGGAAAAAGAAAAGAAAAAAGACACATACATGTATCCTCTAAGGATTGGGGATACCTAGCGCGATATGAATCATAAAAAGGACGTGGATTACAAAGCAAAAAACACAGTAAACTAAATATATATAAATGTAACTTCATATCAATACGTGTTACATATGACCTACAATTCGAATTATATGAATCAGTACCTATATTAAAGGATATTTGTCAAAAGGTAATTTCTAATGTAAATAACTAAAAAAGTACTCTCTAGGAAAATCAAAATATTTTTTTTATAAATAATTAACATAACTAATTTTTTTAATTTTTATAAATTAGTTATCTATCTTTTATATTTAAAATCAAAGTTAATAACATTTATATAGCAAATTGCACTATGCGCCGGCGATAAACAGTACAATGTGCTTTATGTATTATACAATTAGCGTCTGAATCTGAGCTGTATTTCAAATAGCTATGTCAAAAACCACATGAAAAATGTGTTTAAATATGATCTACTGGAAGTTAGCTGTAGTACGCTTTCATCCTTTAGTTTGTTTGACACTTTAGTTTGGTCATTAGCTGTTATAGTTGTACTAGCTCCGATCTTTAATACAATATTCAATTAACTAATTTGGTGAGATTAAAGAAGTTATTAAATTACTTTAAAGTATTTATATTTATTGTTTTTATAAATACTAATTTGTTTCACTTATAAATTGATATATAATCTAATGATATTTATAAATCTTTTAGAAAGATCATACAATATACTACCTCAGGTTCTAATTATAAGAGTTAATTGACTAATTTGAAGAGATTAAGAAAATAAGTTAAGTTAGTTATTTGTAATAAATAGGTGTTGTCTTTCCTAAAATACCCTTGCTAATCAAGTGTATTGGCTAGAACTACTATCATTAGAAGGATTATTTTGAAAAAAATATTTAAATATGAGAGATAAAGTGATTGGGGTCTTATGGTCAGGATCAAAATAAAAGTCAAACAAAGTCTTATATTAAGAACCGGAGGTAGTATGTTATAATTAAGTAATTTATTAACTTTTTAAATCACTCCAAATTAATCAACTGGGTCTTATATTAAAAACGGGAAGTAGCATTTGGGTGTTATATCTTACCTAGTAAACTTTCTGTTAAATTTGTGTCTGGTGTGTATTACTACCTCCAGTCCTTAATATAAGACATTGTTTGACTTTTATTTTGGTCCTAAATATAAGACACCAATGCACTCTGTCTCTCATATTTATACTTTTTTTTAAGATAGTCCTCTTAACAATAGTAGTTGTAGCTAATACACTTAATTAGCAAGGATATTTTAGAAAAAACAACACATATTTATTACAAATAACTAACTTAACTTCTTTCTTTAATCTCCTCAAATTAGTCAATTAGCTCTTATAATTAGGATCAGAGGTAGTATTATTGTATGTATGGTTATCTTTATATACGTCTCTTTATTCTACTCTTCAGTCCTTAATATAAGACTTAATTGTTGAGTTGATTTTGATCCTAAATATAAGACCTATTTCTCATATTTATCAATTTTTTCTAAATTTCCTCTATGGATACTTCTTCAACCGTAATCAAGTAGAAGAGAGAGAGAGAATATTAGGAAAGATGATTATGGTATTTTAGAAAAAAACATGTCATATTTTTTACAATTAACTAATATATCTAACTTCCTTAATCTAATCAAATTAGTTAAATAGGTTTTATATTAAGGACTAGAGGAGTATAATAGATCTTTTTATTAAAAAAAAAATGATAAAAACAATGCTATAGTCATTAGTGATACACTAGCATATACCTCTCTGGATTACGTGTATCTCTAAAATCTTCAGGTGAAATCTTGGGAGGTCATGTGAAGTAATTCATGGTTGCGGTGCAATCTACAACATAACTCGTGTTAACTAATTAAGAATTCTGGTCTTGCCGTTCTATGTATTTGAATTCCTTTAGGTCTCTGAAGGACACTTCTCATGCCATGCAAAGGCTTCTTTCTTGATAAAAATATAAGCAGCCATGTCAAATAAAGTTGCTTAAGAACATCAATACCAAAACAGCATTACAACCTCTCAACATTGAATATCTTATTTTCCTAGTTTCGAACCTCACTCCGTTCATCCATAAGTTCAAATTGTGTTCATATAGCTAGCAAATTGAAAAACAAACATTTATAGTATCCACAAACAAATATCAGCCATACAGTCCGAAGACTAAAAAGAAAGATAGATCAATAAAGACGCCCCCGTGTTTAACCTATGGCCTAAATACAAAGAAAGGTTGATAAAACAAGTTCCTGGCTTCACAATTCTAAATTGTACGGTGGACTTGCTTAGGCTCGAGTTTTAGTTGCAGGGGTACTGCACCTGAATCAAAGGAGTCATTACTGTAAAGATCCAGAGAAGTCCCTCTTGTTATCTCATCATAACTAGCTGAATTAGATGTCATTGATCCAGAAGTGTCGTTCAAACCAGCTATCTTCAAAATGCTTTCAATTTCTTTGACCACATCATTCATTGAAGGCCTATCAGCACCTGTCTCTTGAAGACACTTCAGTGAGAGATCCACAAAGTTCTCTAAACCCTTCAATGTTGATTCTGAACCAATGACTGGGTCAATAATTTCTTCAAGACCATATAACTCCTTTGTTCTATCAATTAAATTCCTAACCACTTTCACAACGTATTTCCCTTTTTCTATAGGTTTTCTCGCAGTTATCATCTCCAACATTAGAACTCCAAAGCTGTAAACATCGCTCTTTTCAGTCAAATGCTGACTTGTGTAATACTCTGGATCTAAATAGCCCTATATCAGAAATAAATAGATCCATGCTCATCAAATTAGTTTGACATTCTTCACAGAATCTGAGAGTTTTCTAGATATTAGATTCCATAACCAAAATAGAATTACAATATTGGGACTATTAGTTATGATTTAAGGGTACAATGAAGCATTCAATCCTCAATCAATCTGTACAATTATATGAAATCTTCTCATAAGTCATAACTAGTTCTGTTAGTCTGTGTAGTGTAAAAGGGTTTAGAAGGTACCAAACCTACCATTGTTCCTTTAACTTGAGTGGTGATATGATCTTTGCCACAATCAACCATAGTCTTGGAAAGGCCAAAATCAGCTACTTTGGCATTTAAGTGATCATCCAGCAAGATGTTAGTTGACTTGATGTCCCTATGTATGATACGGGGATTCGCATGGTCATGTAGATAAGCTAAACCTTTAGCAGCGCCAAGGATTACCTTTAGCCTCCTAGGCCAGTCCAATCTAAGTGCTGATTTCCCTGGATACAGTCACAGATCACATCTGTGTTATTTGTAGAAGAAAAATATGCTGAGTCTATTATGTCCCACTTTGCAAACATTTTCATTTTTCTTTTTGGTATGTTAGTTATCCAAAAGCTCGTATTACCAGCTTTTAGGAAACTGCATTGTGCCCAAAAGCTGGATGTAGAAGCCAAAAAATATCCATATACATTTTCAGATGGCACTTGAACTAATCTGTTCTGTAGATGGTGAAAAGTGGATAGAAATACCTGAGATAGCACCGTGTAAAGTTCCATTTGGGACATACTCATAAACCAGCATTTGTTCTTCTCTCTCAAAGCAGAACCCCACAAGGCTTACAAGATTGTTATGGTGGGCCCTTGACAGAAGTTCAATCTCAGCTTTAAACTCAAGCCCTCCCTGCTTAGATTCTCTTTGAGCTCTTTTTATGGCTACTAGTTGCCCATTGGGAAGTGTCCCTCTATAAACCTGTCAACAAATACTTACAAAATGTGTAATCTTAAATATTAATTTGACCAAAAAAACATTTTCCTTGTGGACTACCATAACAGTATTAGTGATAGTCATTGTTTAAAGTTGAAGGGATAGATTGTATAACCTCCTATGTTAAGGAGTGTTATTTGTATTTTGATCCCTTTTTAGCCAGCTATTAGCCATTTATTGAACCACTGGGAATTGAAGATAAAGATGATAAATGACCTTTCCATAACCCCCAGCTCCGATATCATTGGCTTGAGAAAAATTTCTGGTGTATTTCTTGACCTCTGCAAAAGAGAATTGCCTTACTCCTCTCAAATTAGGGGTCGTGACTTTGTTGTCATTAGAAACCCATTTTCCTGCATATCATAGAACAAAAAATTTCCCAACTCAATTTTATTAGATTGTCTAGAAATTCTGGGGCTAAGTTAAATATCTCCCTTGAAACAAAAAACAGAACTCAAGGGAAGTCTTCGTAGTTTGTTAGATTGACTAAATTAAATAAAGTCATCCTTCATCTTCTGAAAAACAAATATATATATGTGTGTGTGTGTGTGTGTGGAGACTTCCTCTAAAATAAAAAACGTAGGCATCCTCACTATTTCA